GGCGGCAGCAGCGCGGGAAGGCCGGGCGGCGACAGGAGGCGACCCTGCTCCAGCAGCCGCAGCACGCTGCACGTGGCGGCTGTCTCAGACACCACCGAGCGCAGCTCCGAGTCCTTGCCCTGGTCCTTCTTCTGTTTCGTGCGGCGGTTCTGGAACCAGACCTTCACCTGCGTGCCAGGGTGTGGGGAGGGTGGGAGAGAAGGGCAGGAGGAGAGGGCGTCAAGGACAGCGGGCTTCCTGGGCGCCAGGGCTCCAGCAGTCCTTCCCCAACCCAGTCCTCGCCCAGTCCACTCGGCAGGCAGCCGCGCGCTCGAGGCGCAGTGGGGGAAATCCAGCCCGGTTGCTGCACTGCGGAGGGTGAGGGGAGATAAGAGCCTGGGGCTGGACGGGACACAGCTCCACTGGGCTCGGGTTGGGATCCTGGAGGCAGGTCCAAGCCACCCGAGTTTACAAATAACAAAGTAATCAAAGTGTCCAGGCCTTGCCACCGAGGAAGATCACAAGGGGTTTTGCGGGCGAGCTAGGCCCAAAGCCACGCTGTGGGTCTCAGCAGCCTGCATTTCCCAGAGAGGCTGGGCGGCTTGAAGGGTGCTGCGGAGGCAGGTGGGAAGTGGTGGTGGGTGGGGAGTGTTGTCTGCCTTTCGGGGCCCATCCACCTGGAATTTAGCACCAGAAGCACTCTTCTCCGGGAAGGCTACAAGAGATCAGTTATTTCTGGCTTGTTAGGGTGCGGTTTGATCATCAGGTAGCAACAAGCAGGGGAAGTTGCTATCAGAGGACTCATTTGGCAAGATGAGTGGTACAGGCCAAACTTTCTGCATCTACTCTCACCTCCAGCTGGATTGGAGGGACTGAGGGACGCTCCGAATTTATCACTCTGCCCATCTGCATCACATACTTTGGAATCATGGGAGGAAGTCTGGAGGCTGGAGAGGACTAGGTCCCAACACCAACCTTTCCACTTCCCCCTCTGCCCCTCGGCAGGCTTAGCAGGTGTTCAGCTAGACAGAGCTTGGCAGGTGTGGGGAAAGATCATTCTATCTAGATTTTGTAAACGAAGAGGGGTGATAGCTGAGGAAATAGGAAATAAACAACGATGCCAACACAAGCTAGAGAAACTCTGGTGTGATATTTTGGTTCCTTGGTTCTCCACTTTCTGTCCAGATCCTAGACCAAAAACACTCACCAGCTTCACGACTGGGGACAGAGAAAAGGACTGAGTCTCAGAAAGCTGCTTTACTTTAGCCAAGTTGATGCCATGCCCTGCTCAGGTCCCCAAGGGGCTCCATAAGACAAGGCCCCAAGATCCTAAAGTCCCCCTCCACCCCCACACACACCAGCGCTCACATGGCCAACTCCAGTGGCAGCATAGGGACTTCATGTGAAGGAAGACCTAAAACCGGGTTGGCAATGCCGGGTCCTGGGGTCCCAGATCATCCCACCCCAAATCTCACACATCACAGACTCGGAATACCATGCCTCCTAGGTGTTGGTACTTGGGACCCGGAATGGGGCTGGCTCCGGTTAAGGGCCAGGAGATGCCTTAAGGGCCCAGGCAGCTGACAGCCCAGGCCTCTGTTGGGGACACACACCTTTCTAATAACTAGGAGTCACCCACAGCACTGGAGCAGGGGCTGTGCCCCGGCCCCCTGCTTACTGCAGAATGGGCCCCAGTGCTGTGTTAGGCAGGGGGCCCTAACGGGGTGCCCAAAAGATTGGCACAAAACCCTCACTTCCTTTACAACAGAGACAAGCAGGGAATTCACACCACTGCGGTTCAAAAAGAATTCCAGAGGGACTGGATGTGGGGCCTTCTGGGCTGGCCTGAGGTGGCCAGAGAACCAGTCCAGGGAGATTTGGGGGGAGAGGTGCAAGAGGGCAAGAATGGAAGGGGAGAAAGCTTTAGCCCTTTCTTCCCCACCCTCCCTAGCTTTCCACCTTCCTGGGGAGGCTCTGTTCAGAGCAGGCTCAGGGTGAGGAAGAGCTGGCTGGGGCGGGAGGAGGCTGGCGTGAGCAGTGCGGGCTTGCTGGCGGGTACCTGGGTCTCGGAGAGGTTGAGCTGCCGGGCGAGCTCCGTCCTCTCCCGGCCCACCACGTACTGGCAGCGCTGGAACTCCATCTCCAGCCGATACAGCTGCTCCGCGGTGAAGGACGTGCGCGTCCGCTTAGGCCGGTCCAGATCCAGGCCCTTGGGCAGGATGATCTCTCGGATGGACCCCTTGGCATCTGGCGAGGGGGAGACGTCAGCCGCCAGAACCCACCCGTTTCCCTCCACCTCGGGGAGTTGCCTTTGGGGCCCCTGTAGCCAGAAGCCTGTAGTCAGCGGAGGGGGGTGAGGGAAGCCACCTCTAGCAGACTCAGTGTCTTGGGGGTTGGGGGGGACCAAACGGGGTAACGCCACACCTCTGACTGGAGAGGAAACCAGAATTTGCCTTTGTGGAGCTCCCAGGACAGGGGAGAAAAAGGAATCCCAAATAGGCTAACGTTCCTTCTGGCTTGGGGGGCCTTGACTGCCCGTGGGGCCCGGAGCCGGGGAGGTTCCGGCACTGACCAGTCCAGAGTCCGCGGGCACCAGCCCTGGAGCTCTTTCACTAAATCGCTTTCCGGTGGTCCCCACCTCCAGCCCGGGGTCTCCGTTGCTCCTGAGCCGAGGCGGCGGAAGGAGGAGGGACGGAGTCGTGGCCCGGGCCTGGCGATCTGCAGGCGGGGGACGGCGCGGGGCCGGGTACCCGGCCTCACCGCCTCTGCGGTGGGCTCCCGGCGCACAAGGTGCGGCAGAGCGGAGCCCAGCCCAGCCCCGAGGCGGCATCCGCGGCCCGGCC